ACAGGAGTTGCAGTTGGAACTGATTGATCTCCAATGTGACACCGTCTTAAAGGAGAAGTTCAACTCTCTTAAACTGGATGAGTTTTATGCTTCATTAAGTGCAGCCAAATATCCAAACATCCAGAAGATGGCACAGAGGATGCTGGTGTTGTTTGGCTCTACCTATGTGTGTGAACAGACTTTTAGTGTGATGAACACCAACAAAGCACCCCACAGATCCCAGTTGAGTGATGAACACCTCAGATCTGTTCTGAGAATTGCCACAACAAAACTAACACCAGACTTCAATGCACTGGCAAAAAAGGGTGATCAACAACATTGTTCCCACTAAAAGTGAATGCAAGTATTAACACTGTAATGCCGTTTATATGTTTATGTTTGATATGTATGCATCTGGTGCTGGGCCGGCTCGTCTGTCAAATTTTAAAAGTCAATGTGGCCCCTGAGCCAAGAAGTTTGCCCACCCCTGCCCTAGAGCAAGTACTGGTGACACTGGGAAAGAAAAACTCCCTTTAACAAGAGAAACCTCTGACATGTATGGATTAGAAACTGGTTATTGCAGTAAGTGCATAGTTTTTTTAAATACATAGGGCTTCCATAAAGGTCAAGTGTGTCGACCTTGACTACAGTGGCTCTTGCTGCCAAGTGAACCCGGTGGTATTTCATTTAACAAGGACATCAGAAATGCGGGGACAACTCACCACATAGAGTAGGCCTTGAAAAATTTAAAGACCAGGGTGGGTGCCAGAGAATTTGGGTAGTGCTGACAAGTTCTGGCCACCAGTATGGCCCATGATACACCACCCAAGAAGCCCAGTCTGTTGGAGTAAATGTTACGCTCTGCGGGGAAATAAGAGGATGAGAAAAATAAATAAAACCTCTACATAGTTTGTGTAAATGTATTATTATCATGTCAGGGGAGAAGTCTAACTAGTCTCTTGAGTGACTGTCAAGCTGAACTAGTTCTGTGTGTTGCACTCCTGTTGGGCCCACAGTTTGATGACTCTCAGCACCAGCCTGAAGTTATCAACATTAGGCACCAGCCAATAAATGCCTCTTTGACTTAGGGACAGCAATATTGTCAGTCACTTGTACCTAGGAGAAAAACATCCTTCCACTCATATGCTCTAATATGACTTACCTGTAGATCCTTGACCTCTTCCTGAGCTTTCAGCTTCTCAGCAAAGGAGGTGAAGAAATCACTTCTCTTAACAAATACAGGCCCGATACATACTGCATCAATGTCAGAGCCTATGAATCACATCACATTCATTACAGTCACAGTCATTAGCTGCTGTAAAATATAAACTGCCACAGTCCTAACATGCTGTTACAGTTAAGGAAAGAACTTCATGATAGCCTCTTGAGTGAGCGCCCAGGCAATAGGAGCCATATGGGAGAATCCATCCTCCAGACATCTGTCTTGGAACCACTCCTTAGAGAGACAGTCCAGTCTTTGCATAGCCTTCTCTCTGCAAATAAAACATAAAGAGAATTAAGAAGAATTATGGTCATTCCTCTGAAGAACACTGTGGTAGGTTGACTGAGCGGCCAGGAATGTAGGAGACAGACTCAAAAAAGACATCAGGTTTTCTCAAATCAGTCATTTATTTTAAACAAGTGCCAGCAAAGCACACATGCCAAACAAAATCACTAAACAAACTAAATGGTTTAACTTCACATAACTGAAGAAAACTCAACTCAAAATAACTCAACGCAACTTACAGGCACGTGCACACCACTACACTTAGACTGCCATACTCCCAGCTGCTCCACCTCAGCTGATTAAGTAGCTCCTGGTACCAATCAACCCTATGACATCCTTGATGACATAAGAGAGCATACAAAATGAGGAAGTGATTAACCTAGTAAATACAATCAAACATTTAACACACAGGTTAAGGCATTAGGAAACATACATGACTTAGCCTAGGGACAAGTGGAGTGTTCTCACCCACTTTGTCACAAACACCATCTTATTGTACATGTCACTCCTGGTCTACCACTTGTATTAACTTCATTCACTGAGGATGTCATTGTTGTTTAACTATGATTACTATTTTTACAGTAAAAACAACCCGGGTCTCAGTAATGGCATAACATCCGTGCCCAGAACTGCGCTCTCTGTCGAGGGGGTATTTGGTTTTCAATTTTGGCATTTGGGGACAGTTTTTTGTAAAACAGCATTTAGCATTTCTAAAATACAGATTACCTACACTTTGTGCTGTTCTGGAATGCATCTTAAGCAGTCTGTCAGCTTCTGACAGAGAGGCACAAACTATGCTGTGTTTTACTTTCTTATACACAATATTACTTAATGTAAAACCCACCTACAAAGGCAAATTACAGGTCCACTTACAAGAAAAGAGGAAATATTGATCCAACTACCATCCAGTCTATCCCAGTAGACCTCTAAGTAACCTCCATATATTCAAATATTTGTTGGTTATTAGAACCAAAGCTCCAGAGCCCAAAGTAAAGTATTCCAGACAGCCTTAATGATTACACAGTGAAGCTTAAGTAGTATCACAAATCGACTTACCCTTTTTTGGGGGGTGGGGGTAATTATTCCTTCGTCTTCTTCACTCTCTTCATCAGGGAAAAAGTTGATTTTTGATCTAAAGAGTATCAATAGAGGTTAATTCTATTATCTATGCGATATCTGAGGAAGACTTATTTTGTGTGCCTGCAATGTCAAACTCTTGACCAAATATTAAACCAACTTACATTCTTCGTCTCTTAGTTCTGCTTGGGCTTTTTTTGGTATCTGTATTCAGGTCAGTAGTGTTGACTGCGTCAGGGAGCTTCAAGGGTTCTTCATTAAAAGGTACCTTAAATGAGCAATGCAGAACTCAAAAGACAGATAAAAATTTACACTGGCTCTAAACACACCAAATCTACAAAGAGGAATCACTCACGTGCTGTGTAAATTGTGTGAACAGCATACATTGGCCATCCCTCTCCTGGCTGCTTTAGGGATTTAACTGCTCTCGCAGTTAAACAACTATGTTAAACATCTTGTAGCTTATGTACAGTATTTCTGCAGCTATGTAGAGTAGCAGAAAAAAAGGCAGGAAAAAAAGAAAACATTACAATGAACACAACACTCAGAATAGGCAAATTCAACATTTTACTGAAGACATTTGAGATGCAGTTTTCACAAAGAACACACAGGCTATACCATGAATACAGTTTACATTTGGTAGCAGATTTTTTGAGGGAGCAAAACATTGTTTTGTGAAAACTAACAATAAATTGATTATTGAAAAAAAAGTTTCTCAATCTGGTTTCCTAGCCTGAGGTTGCTCAGTTGTCCTTCCAGTGATGGCACCGTACAGCTGTTTTTTGGATTTGGCAGAGACGTCTGTATGAATTACAGGAATCTGAAAACTGTGAAAAGCATAAAGATCATAAAGTACTAAGGAAAATGACAGTAACTGACAAATTTTAACGCATTTCTGCTGTCCGTAACATGGAAAAATTAACACTTTACATTATAACTACAATTTGTGTTGTCTTAGTCTAAGATCAACCATGTAAACTGTAGTCTTTGATCTTAGTTTCTATGTGTTAGGATCTGCAGAAGTGTGTTTTAGAAACTGACAGTTTGTTGTGTTGGCGTGAGATGTGGCTGGACCCCAAAGGCAGACAGGGAACAGGAGGGTAGGAATAACAGAAAGGAGTTTATTGGATGAGTTAAACTATGATGGGTGAAGAGGTCAAGCAGGTATAGGGCTGGCTAGAGTACAACAGGCTATGGAGGACAGGCTGGGCTAGAACGAGGCGGACCAGGGCGCAGACCAAGGAGGACCTGGGTGGGGCAAGAGAGACTACAGGAGGAACACTGGAACCAGGTAGGACTGGAGGGTGTTGAGCAGAGAGGCACACGCTCCACAGCAGGCGAACAGACAATGTAGAGCTGAGGACTTATGCACTTCAGGCTTGCAGACTGACCAGACAGAGTTATCGGGGCTGCTGTGTTGCAGAAAACTGTTGTGGAAAAATGATCTTTTGAAGCTCAGTGAGTGTAAAATAAATACTTAACATCAATTCTGAAAGTTATTACATATTTATTCCTGCAGGAAGGAGGTTTCTCTGAACAGAGTGTCTAATACAGTCTGTTATAGGGAAGCTCAATGAACAGAATGTGACTGCCCTTCTTATACCCAGCATACAGTACCATAACAGAAAACAAATGCTCAAACAGATTAAGTAAAATGGGAGGTTATTTACTATGGGATACCAGCTCTCAGGTCTCAGGTCACATCTGGTTTTTCTCTCTCACAAGGGCATGCAAAGGTTTACGATCATGTGATATACATCTAGTAATGGATTACAAGGTAAATAACCACTAGAAGGGTACTATCATAAAAGTTGCCACCACAGAAACAAAACAGGAACGGGTAGAGCAGGACTGGAACATATAGTTGCAAGCGGTAACCTCCTGACTTGTAACGAAATGAACAAAAAACAGGGTGTATATGTACATGGCAGGACCGGGAGATGATAAGTGGCAGGTGAGTGGAATGATGGCTGATTAATTGGTGGTAAAGCCGGGGCAGATGGACTGACAGGAACTGGAAATACACAAAGAAAATAAAAGCACCAGGATCGGCAGTTCCTTCCAAACCATGGCACAGTTACAATAATTACATGTACATACCGCTCATACAAAAACAAAAGCAATGATATATAGTACATTCAATTCATTTCCTGATTTAGTTTTTTTTTTTTTCAAGACGTTAAATCATGATAATTTTTTTCTGAGGTTTTGAGTGAGTTAACTTCTGTCAGTCTTTAGGATTGTGTACAGGACAACTCCAACAGCAGCATCACAGGCACAAATCAGGGAAGTGCCTCTAGAAATGAGAAGGACACAACTTTCAATAAAATACTAACTTGCAGGGTCATGGTCAAAAATCATCTTACAAAGGACATCTTAATACCCTGCTGGGTAAAGGAGAGGAGAGAAATAAAAAGCTTTGGATGAATAGTGGAACACAAAGCAACTGGGAATAGCTCAGATAAATATCAGTCCACCAGTACCATTGCCAATAATACAACCTTGGAATCTTCCTGACGCTACATATTTCACATTACAAGAAAAGAAGCAAAAAGATTTTGAGTTGATTTTTGTTTAACATTATAATCAAGTGCATTGGGTCCAGAACACACTTTGGTGTGTGGTAGATTTTATGGGGACATTATCTTGCCATTTTTGTCCAAGAATTGTAGGCATTGTGTATAGAGTTAAAAGTAAAAATACTAAAATCGGCTCTGTCTCACAATGGTGAAGAATCCTTTAAAAAGTCCTCTTCTGGAACATGGTCCAGATCAGCACCAAATTCAAACTGATTGTTTGGTGGACTGTGCCCTACCTCTCCAAAAAAAACAAAATGATTAAAATCTATTCACTACTTTTTGATTAATACTGTTAACAGCCAACCAACCAACCAACTGGGGGCAACTGTGGTTCAGTGGGTACAGCAGTCATCTCCCGATCGAAGGTTCGCATCTCAGTCCCTGCAGTCCACATGTCGAAGTGTCCTTGGGTAAGAAGAATCCTCTTTGTCATTGTAACGCGTACAATGAAATTTTGTTTGGAGCAGAGGCCCCCGGGCCGCCATCACGAGCAACTTGGGGGTTCAGTGTCTTGCCCAAGGACACTTCGACAGGTGAACTGCAGGCACTGAGATTCGAACCTCAAAGAGAGGATGTTCTAAGTATCGTGAGATCGTGAGACTGCGCGGGGGTATTCAATATGGCGATATGTAGTAACTGAGTTTAAACAACAAAATTATGCTAGTTAAACAACAAAATTTTGCTAGCTATTTTTTTTTTTGGACTTTACAACCCACTACTGGTATTAAATGAGCAATCCATCAGAATCGCAAGCTGCCGACAATAACCACAAGAGATCTTTTACATACTGGAGGATTTATCGGACCTGGAATCATTCATCGACCAATACTACATTCACTGCAGTATGGATACCACCAGTACAAACCGACAAGATATACCAAAACCAAACAAATGGATACAAGCGATCTACAGATGACAGACATTGAGGTCAGTGTTCTTGCATCCATCAATAAAAAACTCGATTTACTGGTCACACTTCATGATGAAATAAAAGAACTCTGGACAAGCCTTGAATGTGCTCACAATTACATTGAAAAGTTAGAACAGTCAAACTACTTTCTCTAAGTATCTGTCAAAGCCCCGAGTGAAAAAAATGGACTCCATCATGAAAGAAAACAGAATAATGAAAGAAACAATACTGGACATTCAAACCAGAAACATGCACGAATACCTTTTACCGGTATTCTAGAACAATCACCCGACAACCCTGAAGCACTGATTAAGGACTTTATGAAGAATAAACAAAAAATGCCACCAGACACAGTCAACATGAACACCTTTCACCATGTACACTGCCTTGGGTCACGTTCAAAACACCCCGACCAATAATAGCCAAACTGGAACATTACAAACATAAGGGAGGGGACAGTGGTGCGGTGGGTAGAGTAGTTGTCTCCCAACCGGAAGGTTGAAGGTTTGACTCTCGGTGCCTGCAGTCCACATGTTGAAGTGTCCTTGGGCAAGACACTGAACCCTCCCGTTGCCCCCAATGGTTAGAGCCATCGGTTGAGTTGGCGCCGTAGATGGCTGCCTCAGTTCTGTACGGGAAACAAATTCCTTGTGTGTAACATACTTGGCCAATAAAGGTGATTATCCTTACAAAGAATGCGTCAAAAGCACAGGAAAAGAACGGAAAGGCACACATTACGGACTCAATGACCAATTCCCACGGGAAATTAACAAATGGTGCAAAATTCTCTACCCCATTATGAAACAACACAGACAAAACAATAAACGAGCAAACATCATTGTGGACAAATTATTCATTATCCATGGCTCTTCTGATTTCCCACATTACATCTAACAACCAGTGAC